ACAGTGTATATCCAAAAGTTAAGGATCCTCCAGAAGGGGATGCCTTTTTCTAATCCTTACAAGGTGCTGTATGGGCTATCTGTGACTCAGGAGTGCAAAGGAGTGAGAGTGAGGCTAATGTCTCATTGTATGCCCTTTTTTATCTTCTGAATTTACACCAAGTTTAAATACACTTGATTAAAAAAATTAAAAATATGACATGGAAATTCACATCAGAAGTATTATGTGTTTATGATCCATGGGTTACCAGTTTTCCTTCTACAATTTGTAATAAGGAAATATATGTGGAAATATTCTACCAGTGGAAATATTCTAGTTTGTTGGTAAAACTTTTATTTTACCATTATTTAACAGTAGGAAGTCAGTTTAAGTTATACTCATAAAATTGAATAGTGTGCAGGCCCTAAAAATTATATAAGTGTATTGACATAGGAAGATTCATGGTACATATCACATGGGAAAAAGCAGGTCACAAGACAATATGTATAGTATTATATCATTTTTATTTAAAAAACAAATCTAGGCCGGGCGCGGTGGCTCACACCTGTAATCCTAGCACTCTGGGAGGCTGAGGCGGGCGGATTGTTTGAGCTCAGGAATTCGAAACCAGCCTGAGCAAGAGCAAGACCCCGTGGACAACTAAAAATATATAGAAAAAATTAGCCGGGCATGGTGACACATGCCTGTAGTCCCAGCTACCCGGGAGGCTGAGGCAGAAGGATTGCTTGAGCCCAGGAGTTTGAGGTTGCTGTGAGCTAGGCTGACACCACGGCACTCTAGCCCGGGCAAAAAAGTGAGACTCTGTCTCAAAAAAAAAAAAAAAAACAAATCTAATAATACAGAGAAAAATAATGAGTCGTCATTTCTGAGGGTGGGATTATGGGCAATTTTTCGTTTTCTTTTTTGGCTTACTGATATACTTTAATACTTCTGTAACAAATGAGCACTTTTCCATAGCAAAGAAAACAAATGTTAACTTACCCTCCTGGTTATACACACTAATCGTTGCTTATTGTGAAAAGTCTAATATCTCTAATTTGCCCACACTGTTATCTACAGCTTGTCCTAAACTCAATTTTTTACTTTAACTTTATTATTTGCCTTCACCCACCCCACATTTCCAAAGTGAACTGGACACTATTCTCTTTTCTGACACTTTTGCATCTTTCAATACAACACTCTTCCCTCTCATCCCCCTGCCAAAATCCTCATCATTCTATAAGGCTCTAATTGAACATTCCCTTCATCATGAGGTCTTTCCTCATCTGCCCTCCTGGAGGCAAAATTTTTCTCTACATTCCCATCATGTTTTGTGTTCAATAATGTATGTAAAGTGTCCCTTATATAATTGTGTATATAACATCTCTCCTAGTAGACTATATAAGTGAAAAGATTCTTCATCTTTGTCTAATTTATAAAGCATTTTTATATACACCAATCTCTTATCCTCACAAGATTTAGGGAGAAAAAGAATCAATATGTATTTAATGGCAACTGTATCAGGCAATGTGTTTGAGGCTTTATATGTCACTTAACCCTAACAGCACTCCTGTGGATCCATTTTATATATGAAAACATAAGCTCACAAAGGTTCAGTGACTTACTAGTGTCATAGCTGGTAAAAAAGCATGGCTGCAATTTTTTTAAACTCTGATCTGTTCTTTCTCTTATAAAAACATGACTGTGTGTCTACCAATGTGGAAGACACAAACACATGTAAAATCCACATGAAACACATGAAAACTGAGGAAGGTTTTCTAGCACACCAGAACTGCTATATTCAGATAATACTTGGGAATCAACTAAAGTCAGAAGTTAGAGGTAGAAGGGAGCTTACAGATCATCTAATCCAACCAACTTCTATATTATAGATGAGAAATATGACCTGAAGAGAAACAAATTTCCCTCCACATTTAGTAGCTGAGCCAGGATTAAAATCCAATTGGAGGCAGTATAGCAAAGTGGTTAAGAGTATGGCCTTTGGAGTCAGATGTGTGTGTTCAAATCACAGTTCTGGCACTTGTGTAACCTAGGACTGTGTGTGACCTACGACAACTTACAAAGTTTTTATTTGCCTAAGTTTTCTCATCTATAAAAGATAATACTTGTTCCATAGTGCTGTGAGGATTAATTTAACACTGTATGGCAAAGAACAAGCACAGAATAAATATTAGATATTTTCTCATCTCCTATCTCACAGTCCAGTCTTCTTTGCAGGATACATTGCCTTTTATGAGTGAATGTGAAGTGGACATGACATTTTAAGATCAAGGTGAGTAACAATAAACAAACATTCATTTATTTATGTGATAATGCCTTCTTAAAAATTACACATACAAATACTTCTCAGAGGATAAATAACATTTTAAAAAGGAATCGCTCAATAAAAGTTTATTGAGCTACTCCATGCTAGGCACAGTGCTAGATGCACTGAACAAAACAGATATAATCTCAACCTACATAAGCACTAAAATTTGATAGAAAGCAAAACACCCCTGCGATCTGTCTATGGTATATGCAATGCAAATATCTTTCACATAGTTAAGTCAAGGCAGCATAATCAAACACACATTAGTATTTGAGACTAGCTGTACACATAGTTTTGTCTTTCTATAAAATATATTCTTTAGAATCATAAAGAATATGATGGTCACGAATATATGGTCATGTCAATTAGATTTTAGTAAGTTCCCTGACAATTAGGCTATTTGTTATTTCTCTATATATAATAAAACAGGATATTCAAATGGGCAAGTTTAATTATGCATATAACAGAACAGTTTTGCTAATAAATATTAATAATTCCTTACAAAGCGTTACAAAGTTCAATTTTATGAATTTGTGCTCATTCACTCATTCTCTTTCTCCCTATACCCCCACAAACAAATATCCATGTACACACATGTGTGTGAAAAGCTGCCTAAAGAGATGGTTAGCTGACACTCTGGACTTAGAGTCACCAATATGCTGATGGTCTCTAGATCTCCTGTATTTGTCCCAAGTATTATGCCAGTGTACAGAACTGGCATTTGTTTGAATTCGGATGATAAAACTGGCCATGGATCAAGGCAGCAAAGAAACTGCATTGTTCACATGTTAAAATTACCTTATAGGGATGAATTTATTCCTTAAATCCCTTATCTTCAAGTTTTGTGATCCATTTGACTTCTAAATGTGACATACTATCTACCCAATTTTGCCTGAAAGTGAAAATAAATGATTCCATTATGTTTATTTATGAGAGGAAGTATAAAGCACAGTAAAAAGAGCCAAAATTTAGAGTCAGGTAGACTGGATTCAAATCTCAGTTGTGCCATTTAATTGTATAATTTGTTGGAAATCACAACCTCTTTGAGTCTCAGTATAAAATGTTTGCCAAATAGGGATTATAATTTTTGTGATTTTTTTTTTCCTATTAAGCATTAAATAAAGTAATAAATGCAAACTGCCTGGCAAACAGCAGCTACTCAAGTAAGTATTAGTGGTTGGCTACATTAATTTGAATGGAGAAATCACAAATCAAGAGCAATGATTTAAAAAAAAAAAAAATCACTGCCTATCTAAAAACTAGTTGCTATATAGAAACAATATGTAATCTCCCTGAAATAATTTACAAAACTTTCAACCGGAGAGATAAAGAAAAAACACAAGATTTAATAATTGGCAAAATGGGGATCAATGAGGAGATTATAAATTTGTTGAATTATTAACCAACAAGGAGGTTTGAAGATCAATGTGCTGCCCTAACTGTAGTTGCATTGCTCTCAAAAGGTAACAAGGTACTGGCCTGATGCATCAGGGTCCTTGAATTGAACATGTGCATTTTTCTTTATGAGAAGAAAAATGGGAGCATAATGCAGTAGTACCTAGAACTCTTTGGGAACTGGATGTTTTGAAAAAAATTAATCAGCTGCTTTTATGGGAAAGAAAGGTGACTATCTAAATGTAAGGTAGTGAGTGAAAACTACTTAACTGAAGCATTACTCAAGAGAGAAGTCACCAAGGTTCATTATATCACATCTTTCAAATTTTCAAACAAATGAGTACCTTTCCTCATATTATCCCTTTGTCGGAAGCAATTTCTCTTTACAACTATTCTGGCTACCTTAGACCTCCATCCAAAATTCTCCTGAATCCTTTCATTATCGACGAAGCCTGAGACAGAGCACGAGTATTCCTTACTGAAAGCACACTTATTTACTGATCACTGGTTTCCAGAACGTCAAACGTACATCCAAAGCCCACGCATGAAATTATAAGTTTGTTCTCACATCTCACTAGTTCATAGCAGCCAGGAAAACAAAGGCCATTCTCACCCAATTCGAACTGCAGCCGGAATTAACTCCCAATGAGGAACGACCCCCTCATTCCACTTCCCAAATGTTTGTAAAAGGTATCCTTTCCAGCCGACTGCCTGCTTCCCGGACACTGCACCCCAGAACTACGGAAATAGTACTCAGGAAAAGAGTGGTAAAGTAGCTCTGAGAATCGAGGGTGACCAAACCTTGCCGATGGGAGATAGTAAGGACACTCCTCGATTGTTTGCAGAGAAACTCAGCACTAAGCCGAGTCACGGTACACGGTGTCTTGGGCCTCTCCCAGGGACACTTGGAGACCCAAGGTCGAGTTCCAAATTGGAGACAGTTATTGAGAGTGGAGAAGACGGTATGCCGGGATGCCAGGGGCCTTATTCAGCAGCACAGAGGGTCACGCGCTGCGGGGCTGGATGGGGATTCCTAGTTCAACCCTTGCCCACTCCTCGGTCCAGCCAAGATGCGTCGTGGAACCCCAGCTGGCTGGAAATATTAGGCCCACGAGATAACCCAGTAAAATCACTTACCAGTCTTACATCTCCGGCGCTGATCTAGGAGGAGCCTGACCCGCAGACCAGACTCAAACCCAGCATCAACTAAAGCCACCCTGGCGACGGCTCCAGAGCGTCACTGACAACCACCCGGAAATGGTGCTATCACTTCCGGGGCCTCCTAGCGCGCGGCGGGAAATTATTTCCCAGAGCCCGGATTAGTGAAGCAGCGAGTGCTGCAGCGGTAGTCGTCGCCTCTGCCGCCTTCGCCACCCGAGGAAAGCAGCCCAGACACTCCGGCCGGGAAGGTAAAGGGGCTCAGCTCGGAAGACACAGTGTACCCTGACTCTGTGGGGATGTTTCTTCCCCGGCCGTGCCCCCGAAGTTTCTGCCGCTCCCAGCTGTGAGGCTGGGAAGGGGCTGGGGTGAACGGCGGCAGTGCCTGGCTCTCGCGCTTTCCGCAGCCGCCGTTCGTTCCCACTCTGACTCGCTGCGCTTGGCCACCGAGTTGGTGGGCTGCGGCCGCAGACCCCGCTCCGTTACGCCCGTACAGCGGCGGGGACGACCGCCCAGAGCCTCTCTGCAGTGCAGGGCTGAGCCGCTACCTCCGCCTTCCTCTTGCGCAGCAGCTCAGCAGCTCGGTCCCCCGCCTGGAAAGTGCTAGGCCACCTGCGTCTCTCGTTTCCATAGAACCGACTGGGAAGCCTCGCCCTATTCCAGATCCTTGGCTGCTTTCCATAATTTAGCATCAGTGAAGGTGGCAGGGATCCCCCAGGCCCACCTTCCTGTGACGAGGAAAATTGTGTCATTCTTTTCTTCCTAGTAGAATTTTTTTTTTACTTATCGAAACGGCTATGATCATATCTCTATGGCTACTATAGGCCTTTAAACACAAACATACACAGATACCTTTCCCTAAAGGAAGGGTCTGTGTTCCTAGGGATTATATCTCAGCTGCCCGAAGGCTGAGAGCAAGACTTAAGTGGTTATCCTGAGATTTCTTCCACTTCCAAAGCCTCTGATTAAATATTGACAAAAATTGATCTGCCTTGGATACTATGTATCAGTGTTTGACTTAGGAGTTAGATGGAGCTTGATTTTGGAGGCTACAAGTTGTTTTTTGACGAATGACCATCCTATACAGAGAAAAAAAAATTTGTTCAGACGTTGATAACATTTAAACTGAATTTACAGTATACGTGTCACAGACAATGTGCTTTATGGACTTTTTGGTTTATATTATTACATACGCCTCAATTCCTAGAAATACTATTGATGTGCAAGATGTTCCTGTTATTGGAAAGTTTGACTAACCTGTGTTGCAGGTGTTCAATACATAAATTGTTAGTTTCAGGTGGATTTATATAAGGGAATAAATTTGATTATTTCTAAGTTAAAGAGTGTTAAAGGAACTAGGATGTTGAAATACTTGAATGTTTAAATAAATTTTATTATAAAGACAACCTTCAGTAATACAAATAAACCCCTATTAGGTCTGTTTTCTAAATCCAGATTTTCTTATGCCTTATTGACTTAAGTGAAGTTCAATTATATGGTCTAACATTTTCTTGCTTCCACAAACTAGAAAGCATAGATCATGTGAAAGTCTTTGAAAGGTGGTAAAATGTGGTTATTTTTCATAATCAAAATACAGAACTCATTAAGATTTCATACTAGGCATCCACAATTTCCACTGATGTCTAAAAACATCAGTTTTGGGGAAATCTGTAGCATAATTTTATTAATTAGATGCTACTTTCCTTATATGTATCTTGATTATATTACTCTAAAATAAAGTTTTCACCATTTAACATTTTTAAAAAATAAAACCAATTGTATGTAGGCTTTGAATGATAAAACCTAAACAAAGTGAAGAATGTTCTTTCTCAAAAATGCAACTAAAATGGAACATTATCTGTTACTCTTGTAATTAACTCTTTTTCAATATAATAATAGTAAATATATGTTGTAAAATGTACTATGTACTAATCGTAACCTTGTAAGGACATATTATTGCTTCAAAGTAAAATAACCCTGGAACTTTTAAGGTCACTTAATTTATACTTTGTATCAAAATTACTTTGAAATTAAACTCTTACTTTTGATGAGGAAGAAAGCCTATAGGAATTACTCTAATGATTTATTGATACCAAATCCATTTTGAGAGGAAAATAATGAAAACTTTCTGTTTTTCCTAAGAAAAAAAATGGCACTTTTTAGATTGTTCCTAGAAATGCTTTGGAATTTTAGATATTGGTGTTATTTTTCTGAAAATAATTTATTTATATTTAAATGTCTTTGGTAATATTGTTGATCTAAATGTCTTCCTACTCTCATATTGTGTACTGTCATAGGTTCCTTTTCACGTAATGCATTTTTCTTTTGTACTAGCTGAAAATAGATTGGTTTGCAAAATTATAATGTGGTTAAAAGTATAATAGATTAAATTCTGAAATTTAAGTCAGGTTGGTATTGTACAGGAGGCATGTCGTTTTTGCAGAAACAGACATATCTTTGAATCTGGTTTTACCATTTGCTAGCTGTGTACCCTTGAGCTAGTTTCTTAATTACTCATTTCCCAGCATCCTCATCTGTCTAAGAAGGATAAACAGCATTTGCGAAGACAGAAATGAGCTAACATATGAATTGTATAGACCACAGCAGATCCTCAATAAGAACTAAATCCTGCTTTTTAACCTTAAACTTATATTCCAAAATTCCTAGGATACCCAAGCAGGTTTGAATTTTTATCCCCATGGCTAACCAATAACTACTGTCCGTCCATTCTTTTTTCTCTGAACCTTGTCTCTTTTGTCCAGCTTGCTTCCTTAAGAACCCCTTTATCCCTACACTAACATCTCCTGTCTAGCCTCTGCCTTGTGGAGTATTGGATAGATTGGACATCCCTATTTGCCCCCTCAGCCTCTCATTTATTTCTCATCACAGTCACTTTACTAGCTAGTTCTCCATATCCTCCCTCTACTGCTAAATTTACCATGAAAGAGACTAATGACTGCTCCTTTCCCAAGAAATGCTATGGAAGTAAGAACATCTCTCAAGTCTCGTTACTGGAGACCTCTGTCAAATAATTAATGTTTATGTATAATATCTTTGAAGGATGGGGCAGGAAATAAACACTATATCTTTAAAAAAAGAAAATTCCAAAGGCCAGCTGAATGAAATGAAACCAGGGGCCTAATTTGGCTCCTAGGCCTAGAGGGGCCAGAATTCCTAAACTCCACCTAAAGTTATAGTGTTCATAGCCAAACAGTATTTCACATATGCAGTATAAGTACAGTGCCATGTATCTGCATTTTGCAGCATTGTTTAAAACAGAGATCCAACACGTTGATCCTTTTCAGTTTTAGCACTTCTTCGTTTACTTTCCCAGTTAAATGTTTTTTAGGTAAGAGAAATCTTGAATATCTTTCAAACTCGTTAATTCAAAGCAACGATATTAATTGCATTCAGTGCTTGGTATATGCTTTACAGAAGAGGGGAGTTTCAAGTGATTTTCCTTAGTTTACGGTAGAAGTAGGTTTCCAATAAAAATAGTTGACAGAAATAACAAAATTGAGAAACCACTAGTTTTCTTCATGTGGCCTTAAAACCATGAAGAATACTAAGGGGCATGGAAAAATGATAATGAGGCCATGCATGGTCCCTGATGCTTGTAATCCCAGCACTGCAGAGGCAGGATCAGAGGATGGCTTGAGGCCAGGAGTTCAAGACCAGCCTGGGCAACAGAATGAGATACCCATCTCTACAAAAAATTAAAAAATTAGTTGGATGTGATGTTACATGCCTGACATGCCTGTAGTCCAGCTACTCAGGAAGCTGAGGCAGGATCACTTGAGCCCAGGCGTGCGAGGCTGCAGTAAGCTGTGATTGGGCCACTGCTTTCCAGCCTGGGTGACAAAGCATACCCTGTCTCTAAAAAAGAAAAGAAAGAAGAAAAAGGATGATATAATTTTATGAGAAAATTAAGGTACAGAACTATATAATATCTAAATTTTGTTTATATAAATATTTTTTCACACACACACGTAAAACCTGAAAGTCAACCCTCTCAAATGTTAACAGCGGTATTACAGGCTGAAGGAATTAGAGATGATTTTAATCTTTTTATACACTTTGTAGTATTTTTCAAATTTTATGTAATAAGAATGTGTTAATTGAAATTAAAAGACAAAAATCTGTAAAGCTTGTTTGGGGAAAAACCTTTAGTTTTTAAAGACAAATATATAGTTAAACTTTTTTAGTAAGTCCCTTATTTATTTTAGTTAATGATAACACATAATTTATTTCTAAGATACCCTATATTCTCAAAGTTCTTTTATATATGGAATGGGTTATAAAAGAAATTGTAATGCAGAATAGGAAAGGTTTATCCTTATTTCCTGCAAAAGTCTCTTTAAGCATCCCTGCCTCTATTTTTTTTTATAGCACTTTCCTCTTTCTCTCAAGGGTTGTAGCCTGCTCTTTCATCTCGCCTCCCAAACCAGATCTTTGTGTTCATATCAGTATTCCTGCCTCTACTTTTCTGAGTTCCATTTTCAACATATTCTAGCTGTGCTGTCATATTCTTCAAACATGTTCTAGCTATGTGTTACATTGTAAAGAATTCAAAGGACCTAAAAAGCTAGTTTATAATAAAATGTTCTCAATTAAGATGATGAGTGCTATAGGGTTATTTGCATTTCAGACTGGCACCAACTGCAAAGGAATTTCAGGCATCAGGGATGGGCCCATGTGGGAGATATTTTGGGAAAGTCCATACCACAGAGACAGTTGCTTGCTGTTCATAAAGGCCAGCTCTGTTCACAATCATTATCTCTTTAGTTGTATTACATGGTTTAAGGTAAGTAACTAATATTTTTAATTAGTGCAAAATTTTAAAATATTACTACAGAAGAACATTTTCTTATAACTAAAAATGTAGTGTTTTTAATTTTTGACAGAATAAAACATTTAACTGTCAAAAAATAATGCTCTGTTTTGCTTTTTTTCCTCCTTTTTTTGTTAGGATAGAATCTTTGTGTGAATGCTTTAAGGAACACCCCCATAAGTTCTAGAAATATCTATAATTTTCCTTGAAATACCACTGGTACAATTATGGTATATTTACTTTCTTTCTTGTGCTGGAAGACTTCTAGAAGTTAGTGCTTGATCTTCCATACCTCAGAACATATCACCAACATAAAATTTGGCCATACTTTTAGGGATTTTTAATTGTCTGGGTTATTGTTATGTATTAAACCAATTTTTACAGTGCTCTCTTTGGGTTCATTGGCATATCGGGCTTTTGTGTGTTTCTTGACCCTTGCTGGGGTCCGGTGGGGAACCCGACGGAACCTGACGCTTTTGGGCCACATGTAGCCTTCTGGATCCTTGAGTGCAGCCTTCTGGCTGAATCCAAATTTATGGAACAAATCCTTTCAATAAAGGGATTTGTTCTGTGAAGTTTGGATTCAGTCGAGGAGCCCCACTTGGGCATCGGAAGGGCCACCTGTGACCCCAAGGCCACAGGTTCCCCACCCCATTCTAGGCCATTAGTTTGTCATATCAGGCAGTATTAAAAATCATTGCTAAATGTAAAGTCTTGCTTCAAGTAGATAATTTTATTATATAAAACTATTATTAGATTAAGTTAATGGAATTCTTTCAAAAACTGTGCTGGTTATTTTGTGCCATCACTGGGATTCCTGATTCTGTGAAAGTTTACCTAATGGCCCAATTGTTTTGATAAACTTGTGAATAAGTGTCCTGTATTCTGTTTTGTTTTTAAACAAATCCATATTTGCATGATGTTTGAATCAGGATATCCTGTTATTTCACCTTTGTTTCTTCCCTTTCCTCTACATGTTTGATTTCAGTTTCATATTTAATCATTTTCAGAGGAAAGAAATTGCTTTAAAAAGGCTTTCCTGATTTCTGCTGTTATGCACAGTTTATCCTATTTTCGACTGTCTTGGGCTCTTGATTTGACAGAAAATGCCATTAAATATGCAAAGTGAATTATTTCCATCATATGTATTTCATTGTAAAGACAATATGTTTAAGATGAAAACTTCGCTTTACACACTGACTCTAGTAAGTCCAAATAATTTAATAGTTTTTACATGAAACCAAAATATGTTAAAATGTCACCTTGTTAATAGTCACGCTGGAAAATAACTATTATTAACTATTAAGAGGAACATGGTATGATAGTATTTTTCCTATGTGACCCTAAAGCCACAGATTCTCCACTTTATTCTAGGCCGTTAGTTTGTCATATCATGCAGTATTAAAAATCATTGCTAAATGTAAACTCTAGCTTCAAGTAGATAATTTTATTGTATTTCTATATAAGATTTAATTCTCAGGAAGCAGAATAATAAAATTTAAAGTACAAGCTTTAAACTTTTTGGGTGACAGCATTACAGCAATTTTTATTTTTTCATTGCTTTCTGCATATTCTGATTATTTAACGTTGGTTTTATACATCAATATTTTAGAATAGCCAGATAGACAAGATTTAAGATTTTCAAATCACTCAAACTCCCCTTCTTTGTTAACATATTTTGAAATAGCCTACTAAATAGCTTTTGAAACTCTTAAATACATAAATAAAATGTAAGTAGTAGGAAAAGTTTTTATGTTTAAAACTCTTGTATTCCTCTGACAACAGTGGCTTTGAAGAACTATAAAAATTTTTGTTTGCATACCAAGATGATATTCACAGATATATTGAATTTAATTTGTCTAGTATTTCTGGAAAGACCTATTATTTTGTAAAGGAAATTTGCTTAAAGGATTTTTTAAAATGATTGTCTAGAAATAATGAAAGCAGCATTTTTCCCCAGTTAAGGACATACACTTTATAATCCACAGGTGGCTTTATCAATATGTGTTCATATGTACTCTTCATCAGACTAAATCATTATTTCTAGCAACAGAGTGTATTCTTTGTAAAGTTTTTATATATTTTCAGCCTATATTAATGAGTATTAACAATAAAGAACTATGTTATTTAACCTACATAGATGTTTAATTTAAAAAATTGGATGATTAGTATGGTAAACAGTTCCTTATGCAAGAAGCTATTTACATTTTATTTACTGATGATAGTATTTTACATGTTTGATTACTTTTTCGTAAGAGACCAACCCCTATTATGTACACTTTATAATTTTCTGACCAGGCCAAATCCTTGTAATAATTTTTTCAAAGCATTTGTTTCATTGAAGAGCCTTATCCTTAAAGGTATTTCCTTATGTTCTGTATCTGAATTTTAGGATTTTAGAAGGTTAATGTATTATATGCCTTTGCCTCTTTTGGAGTCAATTGAGAAAGAAAATCAGGTCTATCGAGGTCTAGATATCAGCTTTTTTACTGAATAAAAATTGGTTGGAAGGAGATGGGTTCGCTCTGCTTCTTGGTGCATAACGTCTGAATTGACTTATCCACACAGCATTGCAGGACTACTATTGACAGCTCCTTGGGACATGTCAAAAAGCATTCATATGAACCTTCTTTGCAAATATGCAGATATACTGAGTAAAGCATATCCATTTAGTTCTCTCAAGGAGCTTGTGCTCCTAAAGAGAGGAGTGATGAAGGGAGAGAGAAACCAGGAGTACTGTTACCCTAGCTGAGTTCCTCTTACAAACTCTAAGCAAGGGGAAACAAAGGTTCACTCCTAACTCTGAATAATGCTTTAAATTATTTAGTGAGACTTTCTTTCAATTTTTTTTCTAAATGAATCTCAACCTTTAAATAAATATGTATGCATGTATATATATTTAATATAGGTCTAAATATTTTAGTCTTTGAAAATAGAATTTCTATAAAGAACATTTTATATTTAATCAGTTGTGTGCTATTAGTCCTGGGCTCAAATAGTTAACAGTGTTTGAAGTTTACTTTTAATTGTGTTGAAAGAAACCATTGTTTCTTTGGTTGTTGAAAATAGCCACTGCTGGTGCTCTGCCTATAGCATTAGTTAAATATTAATCCATAGCTATGGTGTCAAAATTGTTAGAGACATGAAAAATTGCCCTGATTTCTCTAGTCCCTGCTTCCCTCATCTGTAAAGAGATTTTTATCTAAGATGCTCTCTCATTTCTACAGTTCTAACCTCATGTAAACAAAATTGTATTCTAGTTAGAAATTATGTGAGTTATGTACCCCCTAAACACAAAGTACTTTGTGAACTACACTGAAGTATGGATTAAGGGCCCTATAAAAATAAATTTGTAAAAACCATGTGATTTTCAGTCTGTCTTGTAAGTGATGAAATTAATATATAATGCAAAGTTGAAATTGGGAATAGGATCCAGGATCACTATGTTTACATACTGTGCTAAATTATTGTGTGTAAATGCTGTGGGATCATGAGTTCTGTTTAATATTAACTTCTCCAATGACTTATACATGTTCTTCAGTATCTGTCCACACCTTAAAAATCAATATAAAATCCTATTGTTTCATTGTCCACAAGCCTACTTGTTTCAAAAACCATTAACAACAGTAGTTTTAAAATGAAGCTACTGTTATTACATTGTTTATAAAGTTTCTATCCTTTTCTAAAGAATTATATTAATTCATCAGTGTGATTTGGTGGCAAGTAATGTAGTAATGCTGACTTTTAATGTTCAAACCAGAAAAAAAATCTCTAAGGTCACATTTTGAGAAAATAACTTTTAAAACTAGTTTCTATCATATGTAATTTTAACATTGGCATTTACAATTAAGCCTTATGTGTTTAATGATTTTAGTTTTTATTTTAGCACTCATAGTTAAGAAAAATAATAATATCAATCCTGTGAATATCTTTAACATATGTTGTCTTCCGTATGTGTATTTATGTTAGATGGAAGATGGTACCCCAAAGCATATCATCCAAATGACAGGATTTAAGATGGAAGAAAAAGAAGCTCTAGGCAAATTGCTTTTAAAACTAGATTGCACGTTTATTAAGAGTGAGGTGAGTACAGAAACTTAACAAAATTTTCAAGATATAATTGAAAAATAACTAGAATTAAAAAATACTGGCCTAAGATGATAAAATCCCCCTTTGATATTGTACAAATAAAATGGATGTGTTATAAAGGAAATCTTAGTAACATTTCTTCATGTGGATTTTTCTCTCCAGAAATACAAAAATTGTACACATCTTATAGCTGAGCGCCTGTGTAAGAGTGAGAAATTTTTAGCAGCTTGTGCAGCAGGTAAGTTAACTGCCTTCCCCTAAACTTTGAATAAAATTTTCATGTTAAAAAAAAAAAAAAGTATCTTAGTCTCTGGAAAGATAGCATGTTTATTATATCAAATATAAATATGTTTTTCTGATATTTTTCTGAAAATATTTGATATATTTTTTGCGTTATTACTCTTCCAAGTAAAATTTGGTAACACACGAAAAATGTTTTAAATGGGCAGAAATATTTACTTCACCAAAAACTTAGTATAAGTTCTTTATTTAAGAAAAAGATGTTTTAACAAAAAGATTGGCACAAAATATCAAAACCGAAAGCTTTTGTTGAAGCCTCAGCTGTTCTCAGTCAAGTTTCTTTTCTTTGATCAATCACTGGAAATAGTGTTTTTGTTCTCTTTCTGCTGCTTCCCCTCCTATCCATGTTATGAAGCAATGGTGGTCCTGTTTTATTTTACTAAGATATTAAATTCTATAAACATAAATTAGGACTTGGTCTTCTCTTTCCCTTTGTCACCATTGATACTCCTTTTATAGTTTACTGTGATTTATCTGGCATATCATTAGTCTACTGACTGCTCAAAACACAAAAGTGTATGTAACTCAGGTCATGTATTGTTTTATAGCTTAACTTATCAGAAAAACCCTTGGATTTCTTATTAACTCTACCAATGAAAACATACATTGTCCATGCTATTTAAAAAGATCACTGATGCCCAAAGAAACTGTTAATAAATGCCCTGAAAAATTTTCTAACTTAATAAATTTGTTTTACAAAGTGTAATAGTGCTGTGAACATTATTGAAAAAGCTTTTAGCATGGGGGGGAGAATATAAACCTAACCTAAAATAATGAATAACGATAGTAATAATAATTTAAGTAATACCACATTTTATTTTGAATTTTAACACCTTAGATTTATGTTTTATTTAGTAACATTTAGAATTATAATTATTCGTCATGGAAAAGATTATATACAATGTTCAGTGATATTGTAGGCCTCTCACTATCAAAAAAAAAAAATAGTTAAAGGTAATGTTGGCAGTGTCGCTTAAGAGTCCCATGTTGAAAAAAGTTGACTTTTATTTGATATTTGGTCTTTATTGCTTATCACTTGTCAGAACCAAAATTCTTTTTTGACTGACAGTTTATTTGCTTTCTAGGAAAGTGGGTATTAACTAAGGACTACATAATTCATAGTGCCAAAAGTGGCAGATGGCTTGATGAAACAACTTATGAATGGGGATATAAAATTGAAAAAGACTCCCATTATTCACCTCAAATGCAATCTGCGCCCAAAAGATGGCGTGAAGAACTGAAACGCACTGGTGCCCCAGGAGCCTTCCATAGATGGAAAGTTGTCCTCCTCGTCAGAGCTGATAAACGAAGTGATTCTCTTGTAAGGTAGGATGTAATCACATAAAAGCTAAAGCCATGAAAGATAAAACAATTTTGGTTTGTATGAATAATTTTTTGTATTTTATTGCAATTATTAACTTAGTCCAAATGAGCTATGGTGATTTACTCCTTGATCTCCTAGGTAAGCCATACTGCTCATTTGTGTGTCTCTAATAGAACAAAATCTACTTTATGGTATTGCTTTAGATTATTCTGGATATGTCTATTTTACTTTCCATGTTACTTCTTTTGGCCAACTCGAGCAAAATAAAAAAGAAAACAGTAATTAGGAGATTTTATTTTTTAGTTTTGAAGTACTTTTAGGTTTTTGCTGTAAAGTACTGCTTTATCACAAAGGCCTTCTTCTGTATTTATATAGGACACTCTTCATGGTTCATACTGTTTCCATCATGATTTCATTTCATTTTGTCCTTTATATATTTTTAGAAGCCTTGTTGGGTAAGCTGTATTCTAAGACTGTCATTCCTTTTTTTTAGGGGAAGTTTTTATCTCCTTTACTTAAATATAATTTGTAGACAATAAAATGCACCCATATTAAGTGTATATGTTGATGAATTTGGACAAATTTATATACGCACTTTCACTGTAATCAAAATCTGTAATATTTACATCATCATATAATGTTCCCTTGTGTCCTTGAACATTTAATTCTGTACCACCAATACCAGGCAACTACTGATTGCCTTTTTATCACTGTTGAATAGATTTGTCATTTTTTAGAGTTTTATATGAATAGGATTATTCTGAAAATACTCCTTTGATGTAGCATCATTTGCCTATCATAGTATTTTTGAAATTCATGATGCATGTGTCAGCATTTCATTCCTTTTTGTCGCTGTGTAGTATTTCACTCTATGGATATATCACAATGTGTTTATTCATGTATTGGTGGACATTTGGGATGTTTTTGTCTTTGCTAATATGAATTAAGCTGCAATGAACTTTCAAGGACAAATATTCGTATAGACATGTTTACGTTTCTCTTGGGAAATATCTAGGAATGAAATTACTTGCTCAGATAGCAATTGTGTATGTAACAGTATAAGAAAATGCCAAACTATTTTTCTAAGTAGTATTATTTTACATTTCCAATAGCAGTGTATGAGAGTTCCAGTTTCCTGCAGTAACTTTGGCATTATTGTTGAAAATTAGTTGATTGTGTGATCTATTTCTAGGTTTCCTTGTTTTGTTCCAGTCATCTATATGTCTACCTTATATCAACACCAACTATTTTAATTACTGTATTTTTATATTGAGTCTTGAAATCAGGTAGTAAGAGTCTTCCAACTTAGCCTTTTTCAAAATTGTTTTGGTGATTTTTGGATCCTTTGTATTTCCATATACATTTTAGAATCAGCTTGTTAATTTTTATAAAAATGCAAGCTGGGATTTTGATTGGGATTATGTTTTTATGTATAGGTCAATTAGGGAGAATTGATATGTTAACAATATTGAGTCTTCTATCCATGTACTCTGTTATCTCTCTAGTTCTTTAATTTTTGTCACTAATGTTTAATAGTTTTTGTTACATAAGTCTAGTACATATTTTGTTAAATTTATTCCTAGGTACGTCATATATTGGTATGTTA